GTGGAGGGACAGCGTAGGAGGGGAAGACCCTCTATGAGATGGATTGATTCGTTGACTGGGGTAATCGGGATGGGCGTGTCAGAGGCCGTGTGGTTGGCGCAGGATAGAGCAGGGTTTAGGGCTGTTGTGCATAGGGTCGCTATGAGTGGAGAAAGACTGAAGGCACATAACAACAACAGTAGTTACATTTGACTCAATGGCACCTAATAACAATAAGAAAGACAAGAAATGTTATGGAAAGAAAGTGGCATTTCACATTTGTTTATAGAGTTTATTTTTAAGTCTCTTATCCTGAACTTTATCTAGTGAAGGACAATACAAGAATAAGCACTTAATAGACCAGGTTTGAGGAACTTGAGAAGACCGAGTCCAGGAAGAGACAAGGCAATTTGTGTTCATTCCTACTTACAATAACAACTGATTATTAGTATTCAATACGAGTTCTCATTTTAATAACTTGAACCAGACTTTTTTTTAACTTAAAGACCTATCTTTGAGAAAATACATGAACTTCTCTGACATATATTAATAGGTGCTAGAAAACAAACACAAAAACTGCTCCATGTGCTGCTAATAATAATGAAAAGAATAAGAGTTTGGTGATGAGCAAGCACAGGACAGAACAGAGAGAAAACAGGATCAAGAAGTCATGTATTAAAAAACTTTTAATAGTAAAGACATTTGTTATTCCACTTTGATTTTGGGGAATGATTGTATAGTAAACTCCCACTCTGTCTGTCTACTCTCATATAAATGTCTTGTATATATGTTATGCTGTTCTTACTGGTTTTCATTTTGTTTTGTTGACTTTGAGTGGTTAAAAGTAAGGCTAAGGGCTGATGTTGATGCTTGGTTTGAGGTACTGAGAAATAACAGTATTGTATGGAGTGTAGCAATACAGTTCATATATTGAGCTAATTTAGTGCCTGTAATAGATTAGAGCCAAGATAAACTATGACTCCATAAGTGCCTGAGGACATCTGTACGCTTGCTGAGAACACTTGACTTTTCTTGGGAGTAGAATGGAGTTCAAATCAACTACACTTCTGTAGTAGTGGAAATGAAGTCTTCACATTAGTCTGCAATAACTTTTACTTCTCCTGAAATCTTTTTCAGTCTAGGAGACTTAGCAAGTCTAAATATTTGCTTACCTACATAAACACAGTAAAAAATAAGAAGTGTATATATTAATAATATATATTCCAACATCAAAAAGACAGTGACATGTATATTGCTATAGAAGATTTTATAAAAATAAAATCATTCTGATAGGAAAAAAACCCCAAACTCAACCATATATTCCACAGGACAGTGAAGTCAAATAGAAATTCATGTGACATAAGTATGTCACATGAGTGTGTTTGATTTTTGCTGTAAAGAAAAAGTTTATCATTAACTGTATTTGTTTTGTTTCCTAACTACTAGGTACATAACTCCCTAGAAAAAACGAGTTTAGTAAAAGTGACAGTCTTTGCTATGGACAGATTTTAAATCTACTTATAAGATTTGAAGACAAAGAAATAATCTCAATCCTTGTCCCTTTAATTTGTGGAACATTTATATGCATGTGATCCCATTATACCTTATAGTCTTCCATTGAAGTGGGAAGGAAATGTAGGTTGCATCATCTTCACTTTAGAGATCAGTGTGGAAACCCAACGAAGAGAGTGATTTGATTAAAATCAACCATCAAGTAATATTTGACTAACATACTTTACATAATACCATAGTTCTCCTCTGAATAAAATAATCATAGCTTAATTATAAACAGAAGATGATGTGCCTTCTATGCAAGGAAGAGCCAGACAAAAGCTACTATTACAATTTATTAACATAACACTAAAAGGAATTACCAAGGAAGAACCTGTTAATAAAAATATTTTATATATTTGCGTATTTTAAAAATGCCACTGCTTATTACAAAAGATTCTAAAAATTAATTGATGTTTTTGTAGATATAAACACTTAGTTGTATGCTCATACTCTCTCTTTTTAATCAGCCACATATACTTTAGAAGTTTCTAGCTTATTCCAAATGACTGTTATCTAAGATTTGTCCACTGGCTTCTTACCTTACAGATCTCTAGAAACTTCTCACTGCTGTATTTTATTGGGTGCTCAGCAAAAGTAGCATAAGGAACCTCAGTCGACCAAGGGTTCCAGCGAGACAATAGGGATTGCTCATCCACATTCCCCCAGTAGATCCTAAGGCCTTCTCCTTGTCTCCTAAAAGAAATGAATTTCCCATTAGTATAGTGAGTATGAGACAAAAAGAATAGGTAGTAAAGAAATGTAATGTAGCATCAGTCTTTACATAAATGTTAAAGAAGCTATTTCACCTCCAACTATTAATGGTTCCAGTGAATTAAGGAGGTGAAAATAAATATTAAACTTAGCTTAAATCAGGTTAGTTCAGGGTGTCCTTGAAATTTCCTTATGGAAATAGCTCATTGGAAATGTGACTTTGGCGCTCAATATATAGACCAGAGCTGGAGGTGTGGATATTGATTGACCTGTCGTTTATATTTTCAAGAGTCAAAGAGATCAGGAGGAGGAAAAGTCAAGGAATTAGAAGAAGAACTAGAACAATTAAAGTAGATAGTTACAAAGAGAAAAGAGGCGACATCCATAACACTGTATGTCAGTACAATGCAAGCAAGTACTTACTGAGAAGGGACATGGGCTTTCTCAAGAGACATTTCTTATCTTTTAGAGGATGGCCACTGATTCAAAATGCTCTCTGACTTCAGCTTCTTAATCTCTCTGTCCTTTATTTTCTGCACATTTCATCCAATACATAGGGAAGCTATGCCTGCTTCTTCTCACTAAATTCAAAGTTCTGGCTCAGTGGCACTTGGAAGAGAAATCTTTTTTCTATGAAAGCCTAGAGAGGGTCATCTGGTAAACTCAGAGGCAGACCAAAAGCAAGCTTGGAAATGCAGCATGAGAAGAGTGTGGTCAACTTAAATAGAAAAAATGTATGATTTCTACGAACTCTTCTTTTGCATACACTCAGCAGAACTTATGGTTTGTAGTTTTTGACATTTATGAATTCAAAGAAAGCTTTGAGTTTAAGACAAGCTCAGGTGCCTTGTATTAGACCAGCTTTAAAACTAAGTTGTAATTCTAGAGAGTCCCACAAAACATCACAAGGGTCTCATTTCTCCTAGAAATTAAATCCTGGGATTTCTAGAATGAAAATTTGATCTTAATTGTGTTGTGTTGCTTTCACAAAGCTGTTACTTCCTGTATTAAGGAAAGATTCTTTTGCAAAAGCTATTATGGTTTCTGAATGTTTATCCAAGTAGAAACGTATGTAAACAAAATCTCAAATAAATATGCATGTAAAATTCTTGCCTCCTCAACAAACTGATCCCTAAGCTTCTTCTTACAAAGGAAATTAAGAAAAAGATCTGGAACAAGCTCCTACTTAGTTCTCATAGTTTTGATGATTATATTTGAAAGTTGACACCCAAACTTTTTATCCTTAATCCTTTGCCAAAAAAAGGGAAAATATTGTGTATCCCTGTGAAGTCCTCTTTCCAGTTCCCCTACTTCTCAGCTGCTCTATTAACATTTATCATCTCCCCTGTACTTTCCTTCAATTTTTCCCCCCTAGTCTGACAATAAACCTTAAGCTCAATGAATATTCCATGTGTGTTGATTAATGGAACATTCTGGCTTGAGTCCATTAAAGTAACTTGCACAATGGAATTATTTACTGCTTTGTATGTCAACTTATATATTGGGTGCAACTTTGTTTTTGTCTAAAGGGGATGAAAATCTGCCAAGACAGCTTCTCTAGTAGATAATACTTTATATTCCTTTGCCTTAGGGAAACGTAAAATGAAGTTAACTATCGCAAAGCTTAAGCATGGAATTCAAGAGGACCCTTATATTTAAATAACCAATTATTTTGATCATGGCAATGGCATTTCTCAGAAATTTCTGCTTTTAAGTGTATATGTTCACATACAATTTCTGTCCAGAGCCCTAGAGTAGGACTTCTCAGGTCATCAACCAAAGCCCTTTGTCCAGATGACTGCTCAAGTTTATTACATTCTCTTTGGTCAAGAAAAGTTGGAGTCATTTTAGAGAATATATATGTGTTTTTAAGTAACAAAGCTATACATAATAATCACTTATTCTTCCTATGAAAAAGAAGTCATGTGAGATAGAGTGGAGTAGGAAATGTAAGGATTGGATAATCCTGTGCTAGCATCTTGGTTTGGCCACTATAGTAAAATGCATTCCTCTGGTAAATTCTCAGTTACTCTACATCTTTTTAAAGTATCTATATGTCATTGAAGCACAGCATCAAGAAAACAAAGATTCTCACTACTAGGCTGATTGGCAGTACCATGATAGATGGTGAAGAGATGGAGATTGTTAACAACTTTAGTTTGTTTGGCTCCACAGTCAACACTCTTGGCACCAGCAGCCAGGAAATTGGAAGACAAATTGCATTGGGAAATTCTGCAGTCAGAGACCTCTCCAAAGTACTGAAGAGCAATGATGTCAGTCAAGAGACTAAGGTGCATCAGATACAGGCCATGCTCTTTGCATTTACTTGCTATGAATCACAAACCTGGACAATGACTAGGGATGATAGAAGGAGAATTGATGCCTTTGTACTGTGGTGCTGAAGAATAGTTTTGAATATATCATGGATTGCTAGGAGAACAAACAAGTTCATCCTGAAGAGGGTGCAGCCAGGCTGCTCCTTGGAGGCAAAGATTCTTAAGCTTCTTCATCTGACATACTTTGGACATGTTGCAAGTCAGGATCAGTCCTTGGAGAGGGATGTCATGCTTGAGAGGGTGGTGTGACAGCACAAGAGAGGAAGACCCTCCGTGAAATGGATTGATTCACTTGACTCGGGTAATGGAAGTAAGTGTGTCAGAAACAAGATTGGCTCAGGATAGAGCAGGGTTTAGGGCTGTTGTACAGAGGGTTCCTGTGAGTCACAGGCAACTCAATGGCACATAACAACAATATGTGTCGTCATAACAGTATAAGGTTTCAATAGCTCATGACCTTGGTGTAAATGATATATGTTGTTGTTGTTGTTGTTTATGTGCTGTCGAGTTGCTTGCGACTCATAGCGACCCTATGTACAACAGCCCTAAACTCTGCTCTGTCCTATGCCAACAGCACCGTCTCTGACACACCCATCGCGATTACCCCAACCACTGAATCAATCCACCTCATAGGGGGCCTTCCCCTTCTGCGCTGTCCCTCCACCCTTCCAAGCATGATGTCCTTCTCCAAGGACCTGTCTCTCCTTACACATGTCCAAAGTATGTTAGATGAAGCCTCAGAATCCTTGCCTCCAAGGAGCCACACGGTTTAACCCTTTCCAGGACGAATCTGTTTGTTTTCCTTGCAGTCCATGGTACTCTCAATACTCTTCTCCAGCACCACAGCTCAAAGGCATCAATTCTCCTTCTATCCTCCCTAGTCATTGTCCAACTCTCTAATGCATAACAAGTAATTGCAAAAACAGTGGAGTAGAATGAAAATTATTGGCAATTTTAGATATTAAATATAAATAACTAGAAGTCATTACTTCTGATGT